TTTCCCCTCCCTCCTCGCTGCCCCCTCCCTCATGAACCCTTGATAATTTATAAGTCGGATTTGCTTGTGTCCCTTTGTTAGGCGCCTTTGAGGTGGGTCCAACTCAAGAGCGACGCTACGTAGCACGGAACTTGCAACACCAGCGCGTCCTGCACCGCCTCTCAATTGTTCTGACCCTTGAACCAGTGGTAGCTCGGTGGGGGTGGGACCGCAAGGGTTGCTGGGAGCTGTAGTCCAAACGCTCAAGGAAACACAAGGCGTTTCCGTACACGCGGCAGCACAGGCTTCTGAGAGCCCGCGCCGGTAGTCCCGTGGCCTGCTGGGAGTTGTAGTCTCCGGCGCTACCGGGTTGGGCTTCCGCGTGCCAGGCGGAATCCAGAGGTACCAGGTTAGTACGTTCTCCTTTCACGGGCCCGCGGGTGGGCCCCGGTGCTTTGTTACAGGGTCATGTTCGGGTTGAGGGGTTTTCTGGGGGTGCCACGCCCTTCTGTGATCCTCCATGCCCGTGTCTCGGCGGCTATTTGGACACTTGCTGTGCTGTATGGTCAGCCTCCTCCTCCGGGCCCAGTTAAGGTCATCTTCCTGACCACAATCCCAGCCTTGTGAAGCCCCTGGCGGCCCTACGTCTGTTCTAGACTATTGCCCCGGTTGAACGAGGTCACTTGCAGCTGTCTTCCGACCAGGCCGCGCTGCCTTCTGGTCGCAGTTAGGTTTCCCTTATATCCTTCAGCTAGCTACTGAGCTCCGAATCCATGCCACTCCCTGCGCTGGGGCAGGGGACACAGTTTTGAACAGGCCAGAGGCAGGGGCAGCCGTGGTCAGGGTTGGGTTGGAGGCCTACTCCGTTTGGGGAGTCCACTCCAGCCCCCAGACGGGGGTGGAGCCGTAGAGGTGGGGTGGGTGTGCATTCTTCCAGGAGAAGGTGCCTAACTCCACAGCTGACAGGTCCAAATGGGATCGTGATTTCTTCCCCCAAAGCTGTTGTCCTCTCTAAATAAACCGTCATTCTCCAAGGGGTTCAATTAAGAGGGGCTCAAGGACAGGCTGCCCCGTTTTGAAGAGACCACAGAACCTTGTGAGGGTGGAGGGTCGGAGATTCTGATACCAGAGCAGGGCTGAGTTCAATCTCGGGGCTCCACCTCCAAACGGAATGCAACTCTCATTGGCCACCTTGGCCCCGTGGTGTAGGCTACCTCTGTGCCCATACGGAAGAGGTAATTATTCTGCCTCTTGTTGTTGTTGTTGTTAGATACCATTGAGTTGGTTCCAACTCCATTGCAATCCTATGGACAATGGACCCAAACTCGGCCGAGGCCCACCCCATCCTCACCATTGTTGTTTGAGCCCATTGTTGCAGCCAGTGTCCATCCACCTTGCCGAGGACCTTCCTCTTTGTCACTGTTCTTCTACTTGACTAAGCATTGAGGTCCTGTCAGAGGAAGCCAGCCTCCAGCAACCGAAGGGCCAGTAGGTGCAAATGTACGGCGATGATCTTTCAAGATGATAGTAAAGTCATAGTGGATAGGCAAGATAGGAGAGAGAATACAATAAAGGAGTCAGAAACATTTTATGGCAGCATGCTCACCTCAGCTCCTCTGGATGGTCCACATGGAACAGGGAGGAGAAAGAGCCCCTTTACTATCTTGGGACATCCAGAGGTAGCCTTAAGACGTGCATATTCAGTGGTTAAATGCATCACAAGGTGGGTGGTATCTACAGTAAGGTCCCTGAGCTCATAGGTGAGGAATACCTGCATTGGGGGAAGGTGAGGGGGGTTGGGTGACCTGGCAGGAAAAGAGAAAAGGATGTCTGCTTCCATAGTGTATTAGTCTAGGTACTTTGGAGAAACAAATCCACAGCGACTCATGTATAAGAGAGAGTTTTATGTAAAGAAAAGGTGCATCACGAAAACATCCCAACCCAATGCTGCCCAAGCCCACAAGTCCAACATTAAGCCATTAACCCAACACCAGTCCACAAAGTCCTCCACCTCACAAAACAGAGGCAATGATGCCGACTGCAGGAGGAAAGCTGAGTCAGTGAACGAACAAGCATCTCAGCACTAGCAGGGGTCTCCACACGGCTGCTCCGGCACCCAGGGCTGCATCGGGATAGATCCATGTAGCTTCTCCTTGGGGATGTCCTGTAGGAAGTCAATCTTGCAAGCTGAAGCAGGGAACCGCTAAGGTAGCTGCACCCGGTGCAACCATCACAAAACAAGAGACCCGAGAACTAGAAAGGCGAGGCTCACCACCCATTTATCCCTCCGCCTTTCAACCAGCCCCACATGTGATTATCGGCCAGGTTGGCACAATTAACTAACTCACATAGGGAGATAGAATCGACCATGTGCTCACTTTAAGGCAGCAGAGCTGTTAAGGGGAGAATCTGTGGGAATGATATTTAAAGCAGGATCATGTACTTGGACTTTCTCTCTAACTTACCAAAGTGGAGGCTTTCCTCCCGTGGAAGTCCAGCTTTCCAGATTCCCTCTGTGATGAGTTAGGGAGTAGAGTCCTCATCCTGTTTCCTTCACTGTTCGTTTCCCACAAAGTCCTTCTCTAGGGACTGGTCTCTCCTGACAACATGTCTAAAGTATATGAGAAGAAGTCTTGCCATCCTCACTTCTTCTAAGGAGCCTTCTGGCTGTGCTTCTTCTGAGATCGAGTTGTTTCTTCTATGGGCAGTCCGTGGGACTTTCAGTGTTTGTTGCCACCGCCATCATTCAGATGCATTGACTCTCCCTCGGTCTTCCTGAATCAATGTCCGATTTTCCACGTGCCTTTGGGAGACGGTACCGCAGTCCAAAGTGAGATACATAGGACTGGCCTTTCGGTGTTCACGTCCACGTCCTTACAAGCTCTCTGAACCGTCCTGGAGGGCCTGGGCCCTCTAGTTTTCCCTGAGCCTCTAGTTTGCCCACACCTCTGCTCAGGGATGTTCCAGGAGTGGCCTTCCTGGAAGCTGTGGAACTTGCACCTCATATCCCTCCCCAGCCCTCTGTTGCTGTTACGTGCTGTTGTGTTGGACCTGATTCTCAGGGACCCGAAGCAGAACAGAAAACAGAGCAGTCAAACACTGCGTGGCCCTGTACTACCCTCACAATTATCATTAGGTTTTAGTCTGCGGTTGCAACCTTTAGGGGGGGGCCTGGTGGTAGAGTGGTTACAGATTGGGCCACTAACCATAAAGTCAGCAGTTCAAAACCCCCAGCTACTCCCTGGGAGGAAGATGAGGCTTTCTACCCCTGTAACTCGAAAACCTACTGGGGTGGGTTTTGAGCTGTGGGGTCGCTGTGAGTCGGAACCGAGGATGACCATGAGTCTGTATTCTTCATTTTGGGTTGTAGCCATTCATGTAGATTCATCTCATTAAGGGTCTTTCTCGTTTTCCCTGAGCCTCTAGTTTGCATGATGTCCCTCTCCAGGGCCTGGTCCCTCCTGGTCATATGTTGGCAGTCTTGCCATTCTCTCTGCCCCTTGACAGGGTATAGTGTAGGTCCAACCAAATCCTGATAGTCCTCCTCTTTTCCCTCCCCTATGCCTACTCCCTCGGCCCCTTCTCTCCATGGTGCCTATAGGGTGCAATCCAAAAAGT